TGCATTTGAGTACATTTCTTTGTATAGCTTTTTTTGCTGGTTGCTCTAGGTATTACATTACATATAACTCACCAGAAATCCACTAGTGTCAACTTTTGCCCATTTGGGTGAAGTGTAGAAATGCTACCTCCCTTTATCTTCTGATATGTATAATATAGTTGACTATTTCCTGTACATAGACAGCCACATGAGAATGTTACAATTTTCGCTTCAAATGTTAAACATAATTTAGAAAACTTACAAGGAAAAGGAAAGCCTGTTGCATTGATATTTTCATTCTATGTTCTTTCTTCTTGCTTGATGCCACAAGATTCCTTGTTTCCTGTTTAGATAACTGTCGTTATTTTAGAGGTCTGCTCATTTACATTTCTCATAATTTTCCTTCATCTGAGAATGTCTTGATTTCCTCTTCATTCTTGAAGGACATTTTTGCTGGATATAGAATTCTGAATTGACAGTTTTCTTTCAGCACTTGTGTCACTTATTTCTGGCCTCAGTGGTTTCCACTGAAAAACCTGCTACCACTCTAATTGCTTTGCCCCTGGGGGTAAGGTGTCATTCTGCTCTGGCAGCCTTAGGGACCATGTCTTTGCCTTTAATTTTCAGTGTAACCATGATATATCTTGGCATGTATTTCTTTGGGTTTATATTCTTTGGTGGTTACTCAGCATTTTGATTTTTTTTTTTTTTTGGTCAAATTTGGGAAATTGTCAGCTCTTCTTCCTTAAATTTTCTTCTCCATCCTTTTTCTTCTTTCTAGGATCCCAATGACACAACAGATGCTTTGTTCCATGTATCTCCAAGGCTCTGTTCATTTTGTCAGTCTGTTTTCTATTTGTTATTTAGACTGGGTAATTTTGATTGTTATATCTTCTGTTCTCTCCACTCTGCTGTTGAACTTATCCACAGGGCTTTTTATTTATTTTTTCAGTTCTAAAATTTCCATTTAGTTCTTCGTATCTTGTCTTTGCTGAAATTTTCTATTCATGTTTCAACCATATGTATAATTGCTGATTGAAGTATTTTTACAATGGCTGCTTTAAAACTTAATTTGTCTGATAATTCTAATGTCTATGTGATCTTGGTGCTGGCATCTGTTGATTATCTTTTCTCATTTACCTTGAGATCTTCTTGGTTTCTGGTGTGGTGAATAATTTTTGATTTAAACCTCATCAGTTCTGAGCGCTGTAAGACTCTGGGTCTGATTTAAATCTTGAATTTTAGCAGGCCTACTCTGACTGCTCCAGGGGGTGAAGCGGGGAACCTGCCTCTTTACTGCCAGGTAGCAGGTGGAAGCCTAGGTTTCCCTCCAGGCCTCCACTGGTAACATTCAGGCTGTCAGGGGTGGGGAGCTTGTTACTGTTCCCCATGTGGCCTTTACTGAGGTTGCCTTATGATTGCTGATTACTGAAAGTGCTGAAAACCCTGACTCTCCACTAGGCAGCCGATGCCATGGGGTTGGGGTCACTATGACCCAGTGGAGATGCAAATCTCAGCTCAGGCCTTCTAGTCCCAAGCCTCTACAGGCCTTTGCTGACAGCACCAGAGCAAAGAGTGGGGGTGGGGGCAGGTTGAGGCATCTTGTTAAAGTTAGGTGAGGGTGGAGCTCCAGGCCCCACGTGGTCTTTGCTGGAAGGGATGGGGTAGGGCTGTAGTGTTTTTCATGTGGTGTTTGGCTACAGTAGAGCCATTTCTGTTTAAAAGTTTTCCTTTTTACTAGGTTGCCCTTTCCCTGGTATGCTGGCAGCAGTGAATAGGTTTCTGTTGGGGTTTTTGACTGTGTCTGTTGGCACTCTTTGGTTAACAACTTATCCAGCTCCAAGGCTAGCAATATAGAAGGCAAAAAGAAAACCCAGGGAACTCACGACTTGTATTAGTTTGCTAGGAGTGCCGTGACAAAATACCAGAGACTGGGTGGCTTAAGCAACAGAAATTCCTTTTGCTCACAGTTCTGGAAGCTAGAAGTCCAAGATCAATAGGTGTCAACAGGTTTGGTTTCTCCGAAGGCCTCTCTCGTGGGCTGAGATGGCTGCTTTCTTGCTGTGTTCTCACATGGCCTTCTCTCTGTGCATGCATATCTCCGGTGTCTAAATTTTCTCTTCTTACAAGGACACCAGTCAGACTGAATTAGGGCTCACCCTAAAGAACTTATTTTAACATAATCACCTTCAGAGGCCTAATTTCTATAGTTACATTTTGAGGTCCTGTGGGTTAAGACTTCAACATACATTTTAAGGCAACACGGTTCAGCCCGTATCACCACTGCATTCTTCCTCAGGTCCTGAGGTGCCTGGCTGGTCTACCTTTTTCTATCTACTTTCAGCATCTTATGCTTGTTTTACATACAATGTCAGAATTTTAAATTGTACTTAGTAGGAAGATGAGGGAAAGTATGTCTATTTTCTAAAAATGGTAGAGTCTCTTCCTTGCATTTTCCTTTATCTTCATTTCTTTAAAAACTGACCTCCCCTCATTAGTACATGGTAGAGCCACCTATATTGACTCTTACATCCTGGAATTCTACACCACATCACATTAGTTTTACTTCAAGTAAAATGTGTATAAAATACAGAAACTTAAAATTCAGCAGCACCAAAATAGCAAGATGTTTTAAAAACATTGTTTTTGATAATAATATCTTTACTTTTTTCTTTCCCACAACACAATTGTAGACAAAAATGACTCTTGTTCTCCAAAGTGGCCAAGGTCCAAGCACGACACACTCAGGGCTTTTTAATACACAGAAAACGTGGATTAATCACGGTGATTAGAACCAAGTCTTGCTGCTGTCTCTGAAGCTCAGTGCATCACACCCCAGATACTATGGCATCAGTTCTCAGGGTAATATAATCTTTCAACTCCCTTACAAAGGTAACAACCAACCACTGAGAATATCCGGATAAAGTCAACAAACCACTTTAAACAGATGAACTGAAGCATTAAAACTCACAACTCTTTTGCCCTAGGAAACTGCTGAGGATTTTCTAGATTGCCCAGTCTTAAGAGACCAAACTGTAGCTCACAGTTATCACCAGACCAGCATTTCACTCAATACACCTTTTAGATTGAGAACAAAGTCAAGTTCACACATAACTAAGAACCATGAACCAGAACGGTGGCCTATGAAGCACCAGAGCTGTGATAAGAGATGCTGTCAGGGCTGGAGCAGAGGCAATGCCACAGAAGTCACAAGAGTCCAGCTGGGCCAGTGGGCTGGGCTCAGTACCTAAGAGGGTGTAGTGGAAATCCAGTGTGTTCAGTCTCTAATCTGCACCTTGCTTAAGCCCACTATGATGGTCACTGAAGTTAGTAAGAGCAGCTGTACCAGTCTCATCCCTGCAAGCAATAGCAGTGATGCCTCAACCGGGAGCCAATCCTGAGATGCCGGAGCACCACTGTGTTAGTTGTTCGGGCTGCTAGAACAAAATACTTCAGATTGGGTACTTTATAAACAATATAAATTTACTGCTGGTAGTTTTGGAAGCTGGGAAGCCCAGGATCTAGGTGCTGGCAGATTTAGTGTCTGGTGAGGGGCTGTTCCTCATAGATAGCACCTTCTTGCTGTGTCCTTAAAACATGGCAGAAGACGCAAAAAAGCTCCCTAGAGCCCTTTAGTGCCTATAAAAGGAACTACAAAAGTTCCTTTTTTGTAGGCACTAAAGGGCCCTGCCCTCATGGCCTAATCCTCTTAAGCATCCTACCTCTTAATGCTATTGCACTGGGGATTAGGTTTTAACTCATGAATTACAGGGGACACAAACATTCAGACCACAGTAACCATGCTCTGTCTACCCATTCATCCCTTTCCAGGCCCCTCAACTCCACTTCCCTCTCTTCCCAGGACATTCATGGGAATGAACCTTACACTACAACCTTGACGCATTACTTGTTTCTTTAGGGTAAATTAGATATAACTCCTCTTCCCCTTCCTCCTCCCTCCCCTGAAAATATTGCATGAAAATCACAGGCAAGAAAACCAAAGAATGAACCTCATGGAAGAATTCCAGATACTAACTAGCAAGTAACAAGGTAAGAGAATTCTGGACCCTGGGGCCTTTAGGTTCTCCCAAATTGCACTGTAGAACTTAACCCCTGCAAATTCTCAGCTGTCCCTGTCTATACTCCTTCTTCAATGTCTTGGTCACCATTAGTAGTTCCCAAATAAGCTTCCCAGCTCTGTTAATCCCATCTCGGTAAATGGTATATCACTTACTTCTGGCTAAAATAATTAAAATTATAAATAAGAAACATCTTTGATTCCTCTTTCTCTCTCACACCACATCCAATCTAGCACTGACCCTAGTTCCAGAATCTTCTGGAGAATTTAGCACGAAAAAGACACAAAACCACATCGTCCTCTGCCCTGCCCAAGATTGGGATTCCAAAAATATGTCCAATTAAGAAGAATCCCAAGGTGGTTGTAAAGCACAGGCAAGTCTAGCTTATACTGGTTAGGTATCTTAGGATCTCTCATTTTTAAATGCTTCTGATACATAGAAACCTTTATCCTCGCAGCGCCTGCTCAGGTTTGTGCTGCTGTCACGCGGAGCCAATCTACTTGGAAAATGTGGAGCTTTAACGTATCGCATTGTTCTTCCATTTATTAAGACGAAAAACAAAATGCTAACACTGAACCTTGAAAGGGTTCTTATTGAAAACATAAGCTCTCAAAGTTTTCACTCAATAAGCCTAGTTCACAAATCTCTCCAGAGGAGACAACTTGTACCTTTTTTTCTCCATCTGGTCTGTGTTGCCAAGGAAGGTCACAAAACTGATTCCAACCCTGGCTAAGATCTGAAAACGTCACATGGCAGTGAACACTATATGCATACACTCAGCCTGAGTAGCATATAAATGTTTTCAATCGCTACATATCAGATTACATAGTGCACAAACCTGAATGTTTTCAGATTTTCTTTTAAACTACATTTTCCAGTATTTTCCTTAGCAGTCCAACAAGTGCCATGACGAAGCAGAAAGACAACCTTTAAAACTGGAAGTCCATGACTGGTAAGTTTCCATATTTTATTAAAATAGCATATTTACCCATGGTTAACCAAGAATATGTTAACTTTGTCCCCCTCAACCCGCCCCCGCCCCAGATACGCAGCAAAACACAGTAGTGATTTCAAATATCCTTGATCATGACCAACAGGAATATTTCAAAGTCTTAAGTTTGCAACTCAAAAGTAGACCTTGGAAAAACTCTGAATGAAAAGAGAAACATAAAGCTCTCACACAGAATTCTTTTATCTGCCCTAAAGTCAATGCCGGTGCACCACCCACCTGACAGTACTGCTAGGATTTTTCTTTATGCATAGTGTAACGACTCATTTATTAAGTACCCACTTTTATAAATAAAATCGGCATTTTTCGTCCCGTTTAATGTTCCTTTTCAGCTTCACAAAGAAACCAGTAAATAAAACTGTCAACGACAGTCACAACATATGCTCTCACAGCAAGATAAAAAACTTGAAAATATGCAGAGATGCATCTACGCTATTTTACATAAAAAGAGAGATTCAAAAAGTGCAAGGCAAAATCTGCAGTTTTTTGAGGGGAGCTTTTAGGCACATCCATTTCATTAAAGCAAGCTTCAGAATGAAATTCCAGTTTGTTGTTCATGACACCTGTTAAAGTCTTTCTTTAAACAACAACAAAAAAAGCCAAAAATACATCCCATCAAGTGTACAATGGTAGTCTTGTGTCCTAAAAGTGAGGAGTTCAGTTGTGGCGAGTCCGTCCTTTCTTTATTCTGGCAGGCTTTGGTTTGGGGATGTACTGATTATTTGCCTGGTACTCGAGTTCTTTACGGAAGTAGTGAATTGCTTTGTTTAAACCTTCCTCTAGCGGGACCTGTTTAAAGGGAAAGCGAGAAAGGGAGACAAGGTCACATTGACAGAAGGGCATCGCAGGAAGGAAGTGCCACCTTGCAGCCAGTCGGGCCTCCTTCAGAGGAACGCGCACAGAACCACGCTTTGGTTGTGACAGCATCCAGCATCCAGCATCACGGCCCAAGAGAAGCCAGAGGTCCTTCAGGGCCACTTTCAGAATGTAATGTGGGGCTAACAAGTGTCACTCTTACTGAAGCCAAGTGAGCTCCACCCCACAAAAGACCCCAACCACCTCTTGCCGGTATAATGTCTGCTCCAGTTTCAATCAGCTGGCAAGACTGTTTTTCAGATAATGCCCATGTGCCCCATTCTTTCAGAAGAAATCCACCTTGAAGTGGTGGGAAGATGCTTTGGGAAGGTGATTTGCATCTGATCAACACGCCTGATTCTCCCACGTGACATCAGCCCTTTACACTGCCCAGCGGATCGTGGCCCACTTGCACCCCCACCATACTAAGAGGCTGAGTCTGAGAGGGGACCCACGGCAGCCCACACCACAGAAAGCAACCTTCATCTGCAGCTGCTTTGCAGCCAACAGGAAACCAGCCAGATCAACTGCTGATTAAGAGCAGAAAGAGAAAAGGTGAAGGGAGGCACTGCCAAGGGGTGCTGGGGCACCACTGGGGGAGAAGGTCTGTCTGTCAGCTTGACTGTGGGGATGGTTTCACAGGTGTCAAAATAGATGAAAACTTATCAAACTGTATCTTCTAAATATGGGCACTTTGCAGTATGCCAATTACAGCTCAACAAGCTGTTAAACACACACACTTGGGACAATTAAGATGGATAACGCCTGTAAGTTTCTTTGGATCATATCCCTCAAAAATTTATTATAAATTAAAACTACTACTAGGAGAGAAACCAGTGGTAGATGGCTCACATTCCAAGAATGTTAGAATACTGTGATCTAAATTCCAGAAAAATAAAGATACTGAGCATACACACACCTCACATCAAAAGCAAGAGTTAATACCTAGCGAATGCACATTTAACTCTTCAAAAAATATTTTGTTTAAAAATATAGGTTCTCCTTACAAAGGGACCAATGGCCCCTTACAAAGCTTCAAAACACAAGAAACTACCTAAGCTGCTATAACTCGTTTTGCACAGCTTGGGATTATTAGATTTTGTGAAGTCTGGGTATAATTGTATTTTTATTTCATTCAACAAATATCTGTGGCTTTTAGCAGATCACTTAGACTTGGACATCACAGAATGAAATAAGGATCATCAGGCTGGAACTCTCATGTCCCTTTAAAGCTCAATATTCTAGGATTCTACTCAGCTCTCACTATGCACATTTTAAAAAGGTAAACGGAGCTCTCAACTGCGTCCCTGACTCTCTGACCGCCACAACCTATGGGCCACGCCAAGACGCTCCTACATTGGCTGAGCACCCAGTGTGTGTCAGGTCTGACAGGTGCTGGGCTCCTGCTGGACACAGGGCCACACGCCTCTGCCCAAGGGGAGCCTGAGTTTCAGTGGGGCACATGAGGGTGGGCAAAGAGGGAACAGCCAGGCAGAGCTGACAGTAAATGAGGTGGGCTTGCTTTTGTAGATGCGGCCGGCCCAGCCAACCTCCCTACACAGGTGGTCTCTGAAGGACACAGGCAGCCCTAAGGGCGAGCGTTCTCCGGTGGGGAGGAGTCTGCAGTCACCCAAGGCAGGAAGGGCACAGCAGGAAGCAGAGCAGAGGCAGGCTGGGTTCAGGCTCAGCACCAGAGGGGCGGCAGCTGCCCCCACCCTGCCCCCTTCAGACGACAAGGCGGCATGCAGTTCCCCTTCCTCCACACCCTTCAGTCTCACATGCTTCCAACCAGGGGCTCCACTGCGGGGCTGATGCAGACCATCTGCTCCTGACCTGGCCCCGCACACTCGAGAGGCAGGCAACCGGGGCCACACAGGGCTCTGAGTGTGCGCTGCCAGTGCTCTCGGCACGTCGTTCACAGTCAGCCGTGTGTGTGTGTGTGTGTGTGGGAGTGTATGTGGAAGTGAGAGTGTATGTGTGAATGTGTGTGTATGAGTGTGCGTGTGAGTGTATGAATGTGAGAATGTGTATGATAGTGTGAATGTGTATGTGTGAAAATGAGTGTGAGTATACATGTATTAAGTGTGTTCGTGTAACAGTGTATATATGACAGTGTGTGTGGGAGACAGTGTGAGAATATGTGTGTACAAGTGTTTGTATGACAGTCTGTGTGTATGAGAGTATGAGAGCGTGTGTGTGTGTGCGTGTGTGTGATTTTACGAAAACAGAGCACAGAGCAGGGGCTTCCAGCCGCTTCCCGGGTAACATTCTCTGAGACTCCTGATACAGGAGAGGCTGTTTACTGCTTGGAGAAAACCCTCTATCTGCCTGGATGCCGAGCCCACCTTGCTCCCCTGGCGGCTGCCTGACAAGGGTCGGTGCCTACAGGACAGAAGAGACAGGACACGGGAGGCCCCTCCCCACAAGGCAGCATTAACTCCCTGCACTTACCACGGGCTCCCACCCCAGCATCAGCTTCGCTTTTTTGATGTCTGGTTTTCTTTTCTGTGGGTCATCCTGGGCTTCGGAGAGAAACTGAATTTCACTTCCGCTACCTGAGATGTTTAAACAAAAAAAGGTAGGCGAGAATCACAAAGCACGGGGAAGCGCGGCCTTACCATCCACATCAAAGTCAAACCCCATATGCAGTGTGAATAGGGTGCAGGCAGTGGAGATGCAGTTCTCAAGAAGCCCCAGAGCTCCCGAGGGACTGTCCTGCATGGAAGTCCAGGGAACGCTCCTGCAACCGCTGTGGCCAAGCTGACTGTGCAGGTGCCCGGCAAGAGCCTGGTGGGAGGCACGTTACTCTGTCTCAACAGGCCTGAGTTTCCGCCCAGTACAAGAGGGCTGCTCCAAGGCAGACCACCCACACCAGGTAACAAGTGAGACGTGTCCACTGAGCATGACCCCAGTGTGAGACCACAAACGTGGTGTGGGGCCGTCCCTGAGGTGGATGCCCCAAGTGGGCCACACTTGGGTGCTCAGAGCCTGGACAGCCCTGAGACTCAAGATGTGCAGCCACCCAGCTGGAGGGACCTCTCGGAGGACGGCAAAGCCCGGCCTGTTCTGCACCCTTGCTGGGCCCAGGCCCCACTGGCCAGCAGAATACAGCCCCACCAGTGACTGTGGGCCAGACCTGCAGAAGAAAGCTTGTGGAGGCTTTCCCTGCCTCCCCGTCATGGAGGCCACATCGGAGACCCTGCAGCAAATCACCACCAGGGGTGGTTCAGGATGGTGTGCCACAAAGCTACACACAGAAGTACAGCAAGGAAGCTGCGCACCCCTCCCGACAACCTTAGGTTTCAAATAGAGTTTCTCAAGCGTCAGCATGCACGGATCACCTGAAGAGCCTGTCAACATGCAGATCCTGATCTGGGGGCCTGGGCTAGGGCGTGAGAGTCCAAATTTCTAACAGGCAACCAATGCTACTGCTGCGCTGGCCCACGGGCCTCACTGTGGGCAGTGAGGGTATGAAGGAGTGGATGGCAGAGAGCTGTGATCTGAGCCTGCCCCTTCCTCACGAGGGAGGAACACAGATTCAGGATGGAAAAGCTGAGAAGTGCATCGAAGCGGCTGTGGGAGCCGCAGATGATGCAGGCTACGTCTGAGGAAGACCACTGCCTCTACTGCCACGAGCAACGAGAGGACTCCAACTGTCCGCGGTGATTAGACCAACGCCGGTAAATGGCAGCCTGACGCAGGAAGGGCACGCTGGAGGAATTAACCCAGCCAAGTGGGGTCTGAATGGTCACCTCAGGACACACTGTGGCATGCTCCTCCCTGGCCTACCTGCCAGTCCAGTCTGGTTGTGACTTCACTCAAATTTCAGAATCAACCCCAGACAACAGACACCCTGCAAGAGTCTGACTCCTCAGAGCTCCAGGAAGTCTGAGGATGAGGCCGAGGGCTCATGCACTCTACGTCTGCAATCCAGGGCTGGTCTGGAAGACCTGACCTTCTCATGGCCTAAGAGCCCACCTTGATGGGGTTCTCCCAATGCTACACTGCCCCCAGTGGCTGGCGGCCAGGATGACCAGAACTGCAAACAAAATTTTAAACTTGCCTGAAGCACACAGCTGGTGGTTGCTATCTCTTGCTGTCTGAAATGCTATGCTTGACATGACCAGTTCAGAAATCCAATAGTTGTCACCCATGCAGGATGACCTAACACAATCGTGCCTCAAACACTGGGAGCAAATCTCCTCCTCCCTCCCACTCCATGCAAACCTACAATGAAAACTGAGAACAAAGCCATCCTGCCCTCCTTTATCTTTCTATTCCTTAAAAATTGGAAAACACTTAAGTGTTCCTGATAAAAAGTTCTGCTTTGATCCAATTCAATTAGCTGGTATTAATTACCCGCTGTCTAGTCAAGGTGTTATCCACAGATAGGGCAGGCACAGCCGATTTTACTCAGGAAGTGATTTATCCTACTTACCAACAAGGTTTTTAATTAACTGAGCAAATTCTAGGATTGTGTGTTCTTCTGGGTTCCCCTAAGGAAGAAAGGGTTTCCAGTTATAAGCGTCATGACAACAGCAGCAACCCGCCACCCAGACCACATGCGTGTCTGCAGAGACGTCTGCCGGCCAAGTCTGACCTCTCTGCAGTGCTTCAGCAGAGCTCCGTGTGCCAGAGCGTACTCCGCTTCCAAGATGACAGTTACTCACCTGGCAGTGCTAAACTGCACCATCTATACCTGCAGCCTCTGGGCTGCTGTGTACAAGGCTGGGCTCTGGATAGGTCCAGAGTCTCTGATGAAGGCACACATTCACTCGCTGAGTATCAGACAATTTCATATCTGACATAACTTCAATGTCACTTTTATAAAAGCTTGGGTTTACAAAATTAGCTCTCCTAACACCATCTATTTCCCTCTGGGTGAGCTGTGTTAACCACGTCAATGATGAAGGACGTGCAATCTCACACCCGAAAGCTAAGGCAGAAATGAGTATGCTCACAGGCAAGCGTCCCCAGCAAGCCAGAGGTCAAACTCGACGCGCTTCATGAAGAGAGAACACTTGTGGGGGCTTTAAGGAAAACCACTTGCTCTTTTTCTCCCTTCCATCACACATCAGAACACCTGTTACTCCACTCTGCCGCCACTGCTGCCTATCATAAGAGACCAACATAAAGTCTGTTAATTCTATGTTCTAAAGCCTCTTCATGCCCAGGTCCTCGGTTAGCCTGAAGCTAGAGGGTAAATGTGGAGGGAGGGACCCTGGGCCTCACTTGAGCACAGAGGGGACTGACTAGCAAAGTGGAGCGACGGGAATTTGGAAGAAAGTGATTCTGCCTTTATCGGGGCTCCTGGCACACACACGATTCCAAGTTCATGAACTGTCCCTGTGCAAAGGCTCTCCACAAAGGGGGGAGGAGGAACATGGTATCCACAGAGAAGAGCCTGGCTGCCCAGGGAAGTCACTGACAACACCCCTGCTAAAGAACCTGCAGCAAAAACGCAGAGCAGGGGTGGCTCAGGCCTCTCCGGTGTACACAGGCAAATGCTGCAAGCAAGATGAGGCTTACAGTGCCAGGCACGTTCTGGTCTGTTTTAAGTGAATGTTTTTTTCAAACGCGGCACACTGTACCCACGAATCTGCAACAGTCCCAGGATGGAGTTAGCACTCCAGGGCACATTCTTCCCTACGTGATGAGAATTCCCTTTCACCTCGGGGGAAAATACACGGTCGGCAATGTATTTGAGATGGCTGGTTACAAAGACATGCATAAGCAAAGGTGACATGGTTTGCAAGAAACAGGTCACATGGCCAACATTTTAGAGTTCCCCGAACCTTAGAATGTTGTATAGGAACCGGGAGAGGTAGTTTGGGAGAAGCATCTGAAATGACCCCAAGGCTTCATCGAGGTAGGATTAAGGGGGAGGTCTCTAGTGAGCTAAGGGGTTCCTGTGTCCACTGCCATCAACAGACGCAGAACATCTTGAATGCTGGACAGTCCACATTGGAAACCTTGCATTTTAAATGAGATGGAACAAAACTGCTCAGAAAATCACTCAGTGATAGAAAGGGTAAGAGGTCCTACCATGACCTTGGCTGACGCAGCCAAGGAGGAGGAGGAGGCTTGGCGCGTAGGACCATGTCCTTCAAATCTTTGGAGAGTTACCACAATGTAGAGGCATCACACTGCCATGAATGGCCCCCAGGTGGAGAAGTGAGGTCAGTGGACTGGTGTGCAGAAAGTGAGATTTCTGGTTCAATATAAGGAAGAGTTTTCTGCCAGCCAGAACTGTCCAAAGACAGGGTGAATTTCTCTGAGCAGAAGTAAGTTCACCAGCACTGAAACTGCTCAAGACTGGATGATCCCTCCAACAGGGAGGTTCTGGGCTGCAGGCAGGCATGCAGGGAAGGCAAGAAGCCACGAAGGTGGTCTGTCCGGCTAAATGACAGACATCATCAAAAACTGGAAAACTTTCTCTCTGAACAACCTCCATCTTCTAAAAACGCAATCAGGTCTTATAATGACGACCCACCTAGTAAAAAGAGAATGAGATGCATACACATGTCCACCTACGACCACCAAAGGGCTTCACACAGTTTTAGACCTGGGCCCTTCAGAAGGTGGAGGGACTAATTACATCACTCATCCATGTCTTGCAGATATTTTACTTCTTTGTATACTCTTACTTTCTGTTTGTTTTTCCTCTAGTATTTAGCAAGCAACAAACACGAATGCCTTAAGTGTGCTGATAGCAAATGAAGCAAAGCCTGGTGCTGCTCATGGTTTCACAAATGAATGAAAGTCTGAGCTGTCCTGCAGAGTGGAGGGAGAGGAGCACTCACCAGGTTGACTGGGCTGCTGACGTTGCTGTTCATGAGAGCCACGAGGCCATTCACCAGATCACTGTAAAAAAGGGGAGGCGGGTGAGGCTCGGCCTGCTGGAAGGCGCTAGTGCCACGCGCCACGTAGAAGCCCTCCCAGAAGAAAAATTACCACCCCCAGAAGAAAATAAAAACCCAAATGGAAAACTGAATGTCAAAATAAAATCCTGCAAACTAACATGGTGTTTATAATGCGGAAGTATTTATGGATGAAATGATACATTTGACGTCTGGGATTTGCTTTTTTTGGGTGTGGTGGAGATGGTTAAATAGGATGGAAGCTGAGAGATGGGGCTGAGTTCGCCACTGCATTTCTGAAGTCCTTTAACAATGAAAAACTAAGCATAAGTTAAAACAGGCATACACTCAAAAAAGATGGAGTTTACGTAAGTTTCCAAAGAAAATTCATGTTTAATGTGAACCCAGTAGTTGACCTGTACGAAAGCACGTGATTACTTTTGAAAACAAGATCCACGGAAATGAAGGAACTCCAGTATGTGATCCCCATACTGGCAAATCACAGATAAAGCCAGACAATACTGAGGGTTGAAATAAACAGAAACGTCCCTCCCTATGCCCCCGACGGTGAAGTCGCCATCCCGCAAAACACCTCGTATGAAAACGGTCAGGGATATTCAGATGTTTCAAATGGATTGTGATCAACTGGGCCATGAAGGTGAAGGTAAGTAAGCAAACTTTCGCTTACCAAGGTTTGGCTCTTATTTTCAGAAGCTTTAAAGTGTGGCTCTGTTAAAAAAAAGTTACTTCGTAAAAATGACACCTCACTGCTAATAAGCACAAGCACTTTTTCTATGCCAATTTTCCATGAGCTACAATTCTTAGAAGACTTTTAAAGCTCTGACCCGTCTCCTTCTCGTCCTCCATCGTTACCAGTGAGGAGCAGGTCACGCTGGGTCTGGATAAACTTCCAAAAGAAAACCTCAGATAGGTTTTGCTTTCAATTGAAAAAAAACTATTGGGGTATTTAGTAAATAAGATATTTCTGTGTGTTCCTTAACGACAAATGCGTATTTCATACGAACATGCTTAAAATGTTGTATTCTCAAGGATCAAGCACTAATGCAAATCCCTGCTGACCCTGGATGATTCCTCTTTTATAGAAAGTAGCAAAAAGTCACTTCATCACTATGGCAGTACTGTTACATTTCAACAGCGCACTCATCACGTACACCTGTGCACGTTTGTAAAAAGACATTAAAAGCTGCCATTCCGCTGCATCCACAATAGGTTTTCATATTGAAACTGGGGGGTGGGGTCTATTTGAGTCGGAAGAAGGCTCACTCTCAGGTAGTCATCCTCAGGGGGGCAGACGGGAGGGCCATGGGCCTTCTACCTGACACACTGGCAACTTTTAAGGTCACAATTGCATAGATCACACTCATTTAACCTGAAGCTCTTTACAAGTGTCATTTTGACAAAGTGACTTTTTTAAAAAATAGCATGCCTTTGTTATGTAAATGAGGACAAAACCGGCCATGAGAATAGTAAACACGGTCACGCCAAAATGTCGACGCGGTGGCCACCTAGACCTCAGACTCCCTGCACTGTTGTTTTGAGGCAATCATGGGTTTGGAGAATGGTTAATACAGTAACTATGGACCCAGACATTGTGCATTACTAAAAGATGCTCGGTTCCTAAAAAACTGCTTGTGAAAAACATCAAAACTTTGGTCAGTTAATGAACTCAGTTGAGTCCTCAATGACTAAAAAGTTAAGTCGGGAAACCCTTGCCCAAGTATGGCAAAGTCCCTGAAGCCTCGTCATCTCAGGCTCCGCTACTGTGAAACCGGAGAGGATCACCAGAGTGGGGAGTAAATAACTACTACTGAAGTGTTACCAAAAGGGGTTTTCTAAAAGGGTTAACAACCAAATGTCTAGGGAAACTGCTCACGCCCTCTTTTCAAATAGTCAAGTGGTGTGCGAGAGGACGATGTATGTGATGGCAGCTAGGAGCATGAGCCACGACCATCAAAGCAGGCACAGGACAGTGACCAGGGCACAGAGAGAGTGACGGGGCAGGGGAGTCTCGCCCATCAGAGCGGGCCGGGTACCCTGCGTGCATTTTGTCCTGAGCTGGGACAGCACATAGCGCAGGCATCATCGAATGCTCAAAGTATTTTAGTCCCTGGAAAAAGAAAAGTCTCTGAGGCTATTTTAAATGAATTTTGCAGGCAATGCCCTTGAGATAATGAGAGCAGAAAGAAGAATGGGTTCTGACTGATTTCCTTTTACCGCACAACATCTCATTGATATTCCATGTGGTGTGGGGGCTGGAGAAGCCTGGGGGCCACTGGTGAGGAAGCCTAAGGCAGGCACACATAACCGAGGACAGCAGAACTCCCTCAGGAAAGGGCACAGCTGGGTGAGTGGAGGAGGATGGGATGAGAACGTGTCACTATGCGAAGACGGTACTCAATCCACAGGAGGCCCACAATTTGGTCCCCATACAGAAGTGTGCCATGATAGTTCCTCCAGGGACACAGTGCCTATGATAAATGCTTTGAAATGAACACAGTCCCAAAGTGGGGGCCGCTGCCATTTCCCTGTTAAATCGCTTTTTAGAATATGCACGCCTATTTAGGCAACATAGTTGGTTATAGTACACTTTCGGGCTTTTTGCCCCTTGAGGCAAGATACTAATGGGTGGGGAGGAAAAAACCACTGACTGTGTAAATGTTTACTCACAGCTTTCTTTTGGAGTAAATGGAAATTCACAAATACTTTCAGCAAAAATCTACAGTGGTTATTTTGAATTGTTTTTAAAATTTTAGTTGACTACCAGTTTCATTTCTCCTAGGGACTCCTACCCAGGACCCTTACCTAAGGGTCCTGGGTAGATAGAATTTTATGTGGTTGCTTTGGCTGAGGTGGGACTCGGGGGCTGCCCTGACCTGCACCACCCCAACCTGCACCACAACAGCCACCATCTCACCCTAGTGCCCCTGGGATGGCGCCAAGACAGCAGGAATAACACTTCCTGATTGACAGGCATACTGGGGTATTTGCAATGAAGAATGAAAATATATGGGTTCAAAATATAGAACTGGGTTTTATAACAATTCAGGATACCAGAAACTTTCACAGAATTTACAGTAGCCACATATTGGTGGATGCACTTTGGCATACGCAACTGCTTCTATCCTAACTACTCTGAGAATCCATACTGCCTTCTAAAATTAATCACCAGTGGAATGGAGCAACCAAACAGTGGATTTATAAGGATTGCCAAGAAAACAATAAAAATCACCACGTGAATCTATCCAAAAAACATATTTTTATCTGCATTTAGTGTCAGCATGAAATTCAACATGAGAACACTATCTACCTTGTGCCCTCCACAAGGACTACCTCTTCCACCCCGCGAGCCACGTTTGCAATGGGTCAGATTCTGGCATTCACAGGTTTGCTGGATGCATAAGGCCATCTCTTAACTTGGCCTGCGCTGAAATCACCCAAGTCACCCTCAGAGCTGGACAACTTCAGCGCTACACCGCTAGGTGGCAGTAAAAGATTAGCACATGAGTCACAATAGTCACGGAGATGAATGCAAATTTTAACTTTTAAACAGAGAACAGCAAGTTTTCCCATCATAAAATTAAACATTTTTAATCAATATATAGTGCTAGTGTTGTGGAAATGGAAATGGTTAATATATACAAGACACTGAACTGTCAAGTAGGCCTGCTCCAAGGCACTGCTAAGGCTGGGGTGGGGCAGGATGGTCTTACCTGACGTACTGGAACGCCCTTGTCTGAGACCCGGATCCGTATACCTGGAAGGAAACCAACAGTTAGGCCTCCTGAGAAAACCACACCAGTACTGAGTAGGTGTCCTTGGAACTTCAGGGAACACAGACTGACCTCGAAACTGATCCCAGGGGGCAGTGATGTTGACTCCAAGCATCTAGCGCCACATCCCGCACTCTACTTCGAGACCATGCCCCGACAGTGAGACGGGGGCAGCAACACCTAAAGCGTGCAGCTGGTATAGATGCGTAAAGTCTTCCCTCAAAAGACAGTGCCTGAAGGAATTTGCTTCTGCTGGAGTCTTATGATGTGTCAGGCATCATGTGAGGCTCTGAGGGCTGTGACCTCAGAGTCCAGCTAGGTGACAGATCTACACACAAACAGTAACACGTGCATTTAACTGGGGTTCCTCACTCTGACTGCCCAACAGCAGAGCCGGGGACGCCGCCCAGGCTGGTCTACAGACTGTTTGGGATGAGGCCGGCATCTCCTGGTATTGTTACAGCTAGTTCCCCAGGAGATTCTAATGTAAGGCCAAGGTGGAGCCATGCAGGAGACTCTGAAAGTGACGCGGAGGAGGCAGGAGGGAGGGTCACATTCTCCTTTGTTTCCACTGCACATTTGCTCCACATTTCCATAGCTTGGCTTGTGTTCTTTGCTCTGCCGGCCAAGACCCTCTTGTCTACTTTCCACCTGGCAGAGTGCTACTTATCCTTTAGGGACAGGCTCTGATGCCATCTCCTGGAGAAGCTTCCTCTGGCTCATTCCCCAGGGAAAGCCCTTTGCCAACTGCCCCCAACTGTGAACTCCCCAGAAGGACTGGTGTCCAAACGCTCTTCGCCCTGCTGGAGCCCAGCACGATGCGTGGTGCGATACTAGCATGGGATAAGCATCTGCTGAACGACCTGCGGAGCGTCACGGATCACGCCACTCAGGCGGAGATGGCAACAGAGGTGCTTGGGGAGATCTCCTAAGTACAGCATCACAGGAACGAGTGCCCTCGGAGGTTTTGTTTGCTTGTGTGCCTTCCTGTGGTGGAAAGCAGGCAGCTGGGAGGAATGGACTGCCTTTGGGAAAAGCTTGATTATTAAACAACCCTGGGGCCTCCTCCCGCCTGACAGCAAAAAAGAGCCCCTGCCAGCAGCTCTGAGAACAGCACCAGCCCCCTCAGCCCCAAACACTCAGCCCGGCTTCCCTGGAGCTCCTCCCTCCAGCTCTGAGAAGGAAAAGGGGAAGGAGCAGGTGGGGAAGAAAAGCACACGCATGGCCGGGCACGGTGGCTCATGCCTGTAATCCCAGCACTTTGGGAGGCCGAGGTGGGCGGATCACCTGAGGTCGGGAGTTCGAGACCAGCCTGACCAACATGGAGAAACCCAGTCTCTACTAAAAATACAAAACTAGCAGGGTGTGGTGGTACATGCCTGTAATTCCAGCTACTCGGGAGGCTGGGGCAGGAGAATCGCCTGAACCTGGGAGGCGGAGGTTGCAGTGAGCCAAGATCGCGCCACTGTAATCCAGCCTGGGCAAGAAGAATAAAACTCCGTCTCAAAAAAAAAAAAAAAAAAAAGCACATGCCTCAAACCTCCTGAACGCCTTATTTATTTAGCAGGTTCAAAGGCTATCTCTGTGTTTTCTTAGTAAGCATTTACATATGCCTGTTTCACAGGTGTATCAGTTCTATCTATGTAGGTTCTGTTCTTGGGGGTAAGGCCTTCCACTGAGAAAAGGCTGTGGATACTGAGGAATGGAGATTCCTGTCAACACAGAAACTACAGCTGCAACAAATCTCAGTAAAGGAACATTGAGGAAAGATGGGCGTGGGCCTCTTGGAAGCAGAGGGGAATTCCTTGAGTTCTGTCTGAACCTGATTCTCCGGCCTGGCTGATCCTTCTGATACACATGAGGAAGGCAGGAAGCAGTGGGCCTGATTTGGTAGGAGAGGAGGTCCACCTACTGCCAGCTCCCTCAGCCTGGAAACTCGCCTCTACACCAGTGCTGTAGGTGTAACTCTTCTTGTTTTTCACAACCTTATTTTGGAGATGAGCTGATGGAAGGTCAAAGTGCTGCAGTGACCTGCACCCAGCAGAGTCAAATTTATCTTGACTCCAAGTTCAGGATTCTTCTTCCCGCCCTATTGTGTTCATAACTTCGGAACTGCCTGTACAATTTTTTTTTTTTTTTTTTCAAACTGTGGCTCTCAGGCTGGCACCAGGCCATTCTACGACCTCACTGTAGTGAGTATTGGATTTAGGCAACTCCCGCGTCACAGGCTCCTCCACAGGTGGGTTTGGGGCTGTGCTGCTGTCCTGCCCGTTGCCTCTGCCTGCGTCCGGGGCTCTGCTCTCAAAGCTGAGCGCACAGATGCACTTCTGCTACTTGTTTTGCACCTTCGCACCGCATTCAGTCAGGGTCACTGCGATGGTGGGCTCACCAGTCCGCCAGTGCATTCCAGCCACATTCACAGAAAGCCCACCTTTGTGCAGAGTGGCAGTGGCCTTCAACAAGCCAGCCGAGGCCAGTCTTCAGCCTGATCGAAAGCCCAGGCTCGCCCATCAGAGCTGCGGTATCCACGCACACGCCGCCTCTCAGAGAGGAGCCATGGAACCCCCAGACCGGGACGGGTTAACCCAGGCTGCCAGGCTCAGGATGTGAAGAACCACACCAGGTACCTGCTCAACCAAACAACGGACTTGTGGTGGAGACACTCAGCAGCGTGAATGTCACTTCATCCCAAAGGGTTGCAGTCTGGGAAGTCCAAAAGGCTCCCGAAATAACCTGCAGACTGCTGGGTATTTCCCACTGTTGCCTCATTCAAAGCGCACTGGAAGGAGATTTACAACTGTGGGCGCATTTCCCTGCATGACTCGCCAGGGGCAGCTCCCCACCCAGCCAGCACCGACACAAGGTTCATCTGCAGGCACCACGGTCACCGGGTAAGCTCTGCTCCCTTCAGATTCGGTGACACAAGCCGCTCAGCAGCACCCCCTCTGAGGTCCCACCTGATGTCCACAAAGCAACTGGGCCTCAACGAAATAGTCCCTAGTACAAGAGGTGGCTGTTCTGCCAGGCTGCAGTGGAAAGGCGTGGATCCCGTGGGACGCCCACTGCACACCCCGACAGGCCTTGCTGACAGAGTCTTGAAGGTTTGTATGCTCCCGTGTGTGCATTAGGCTAAGATGCAATGTCAGTGGTAGCCTGGAACACTTCCTTCCTCGTATCCTTAAGAGTCCTGCTGGATTTCAGTTTCTATAGCATATCACATCCATCATCTATACTTGGGATTAAATTACCCTCCCTATTTCACTAACACAGTACTTTGCAACATGAGGATTTGTAATTCATGTGTGAAATATTCAGTGTGCTAATGTGAAAATGTAAAGTAAAACAAAGGGTGTGTGTGCAAGAGAGAAGATGTGATGCAATTATGCCCCATCCAAACTATCTGTCTTCCCCGGGCTCTAGAACTCAACTGCAGCCCGTGTACAGCCCTCCCAGCGTGGTCTGAGGCCTTCTATCTCCCCCACTTCAAGATAAGGCCCACAGGGACTTGGCACAAATTGGGTGTGCAGCAAAATCTGGCCATGATTATCACAGGGATCTGGTGTGGACAGCTGACGTCAGCAGAGCTCCCTCAGCCTCCTCATTGTTCTTCTAACAGAAGACAGAGTGTGAGATTCGGTCCCTCTGGCTTCATTTCACAGAACAGGAGAGATGCAAGGAGATTCATGAAAGAGTCAAGGCTGCTACAGGGGGCCGGGGAACGAAGGGCTGTGTGCGGGTCAAAGCAGCGTGATGATCAAGGAGTCACCAACAGGGGAGAGGACCAGCCGGGGGTGAGGAGCAGCAAGGAGCTCTCATGATCACTTGGCAATGTCCCTAGCTGCTGTGCTTTATGTGTTTAAGATGTGACAAAGATTCTTTGCTTGGCCAAACTTCATTCAGGCTCTAGTACCTTCTCCTAGGCCCATTTGTGCACTTCCTTGTAAAATCTAGTTTTAACAAGAACCCTAAGTCAGTTTAGAGAAACCCTTACCCTCGATACCTCACATTCCTCACTCCTCATATCCTCCAGAGTGTGTCCGATCACCCTGGCCTGTCATCAGCAAGAATCCTGTTAGATTGGTTTAGATAGAATCCTCTTTACCTCTGATGCTTCCGCTTAATCATTTTCCAACCACTCATCTCCTCCCTGCTCGTTGGCTGAAAATTCTGCTTGCCTGTACTGTATTTGGAGTTGATCCCAGTCTTTCTCCCCCTGAAAAATCCCACTGCAATGATCCGTATTCCTGTCATGATGGTCCTGAATAAAGTCTTCCTCACTATACTTTAGTACCATTTAGTAACTGTTTAACAAATCCTATGGCCCTCTGCCACAAACAAAGGCCCAATGTAAGAATCACTTAACATACCACAGTATCAGTAAAAAGGCTAAACATCATACCAGCTTTGACTTGGTCTTAGAAGTATGATTTTTCCAAAATTTCCCTTTGGAAGAATAGCAAGGCTTTTAAAATGATATAGAACTGGATTCAAACCCCAATTCTGCCACGTCTGACCTGTCCTGGGCAAATCCAAACCTGGGAAAAATCATGTAAGGTGGAAAGCAGAGTGAACCCCTCCTGTGAATGTGCTGCTGAACTGTGGGCCAAAGTCTCTTCGAAAATAAACGTAGGACAATAGCTCTACCTGAACCATACTCATCTATTTTCTTTTTTCTTTTTTTTTGAGACGGAGTCTCGCTCTGTAGCCCAGGCTGGAGTGCAGTGGCCGGATCTCAGCTCACTGCAAGCTCCGCCTCCCGGGTTCACGCCATTCTCTGGCCTCAGCCTCCCGAGTAGCTGGGACTACAGGCGCCCGCCACCTCGCCCGGCTAGTTTTTTGTATTTTTTAGTAGAGACGGGGTTTCACCGTGTTATCCAGGATGGTTTCGATCTCCTTACCTCGTGATCCACCCGTCTCGGCCTCCCAAAGTGCTGGGATTACAGGCTTGAGCCACCGCGCCTGGTCTCATACTCATCTATTTTCTAAGCTGAGATGCAAAATTGGCTGAACTTCTACATGATTCCACTTAAAATACAGCTTTGATGTATGACGCACTGAACCTAGTGACACACTCCCTGAGTCCTCCTCACAGGCATCTGGTACAGCAGCGAGTGAGATGCTAAGACAGGCATGAGGAATCTGCTCAAAAACACAGCTGCAAGGTAAGCAATCACGCCCATCCCGCTTGGAAAGGGAGGACGAGACGCTGAGCCGTCTCCGACCACCCCGAAGAGGTCTTTATCTGGGAAGCGACTTGTTGGAAATGTAGCAGAAAAGGAAATAGGTGGACGCGCCTCCTTATTTCCCTTCCTCAATAAACCGAGTGTTTCTAAAGACAGGCTGGCTGAGGCAGGCCTGTGAGTCTCTCCCCAGACCGCTCCACAGAGCCGTCTGACAAGAGCAAGGCATGGTATCTCAATTGGACAGAAAAGAATGAAGTCAGTGACTTCATCAAATTCTTGCTGGGAAACAGAATTCTGTGTGACAAAGGAAACAAAACACATTCTGAAAGGCCTCCCTCGGGACTTCTGCCTCCTGCCACCAGAAGGTGCCCACAGAGACTGAAGCCCGCCACGTTCTGGATTAACTGCAGTCATGGACGGCTCCAGAGATCTTCTCCCTTCTGGCTCTGGCACAAAAGCTTGCTCGGTGTGAAGACAACACATGAATTACCACCTCTGCCAACAATGCAGGCATTCTTGGGGTGGCTAGGGGACACCGGCAGCCCTGGCTGCTGCCAAGGAGGCACTAAATCAAGTTGCTTCTTGGAGGCTTTCACAGTTTACTCTGCAAACAAAGCAGCTCTCATCTCACAGCATGAGGGAGTTTCTAAACAGTCACTAAAAAGGCACCAGGCTGTCCTCAGACATGGAATTCTCAACTGATCAGGTGGACTAAGGGGTTCGCAGGGCATAGCACGAGCTCCTCAGAACCCCAAGCAGCAGCAAGAGGGGAACACGAGATGACAGGAAGTTTCACCACTTTCACTTACCATAAAGGAAAGCGGCCACTACAACCCAGTAACTAGTCCACCCAACATTTCTCTCCTGCGCCCATGTGCCTGGCGGTCTTTTGGGAGCTGGGGATGCAACCATGAATGAAACAAAGTTCCTGGTTTTGAAGAGCATACACTATACTAACAGGGATTGGGGCTGTAAAATTCGTATTTCAGCTGGTTACAAGGGCAGTGAAGACAATTAACATGGTTATGGTAACCAGCCTGGTGCCATAATGCAGAGAAGCATCAAGAAGCTTCCCTTAAGGAGAGAATGAATGAACAAGAATGCCTGGAAGAAAAGCAAGACGCTCCTGGGACAGGCAGGAGCAAGGGAGCAAGGAAGTCCGGCCTGAGGGAAGGCTTGGAGGCAACAGGGCCGCGTCCCATGCTCTGCTGGAGCTGCAAAGCCACTCGAGCTTCTGACCTCTCTTTACAAGGCTCCCTCCAGCTGTGGGGTTGAGAGTACACAGGACAGGGAGAATGAGAGTGGCTCCAAGCCTATGGCAATAAATAGGGGTGGGGCGGCAGCAGTGTAGACCAGGGACTGAAGTCTGGATCTACCTGGGTAGGGCACGGCTATTAGGATGTGCAGGTGGATCTGTGCAGTGAAGGAAGGAGAAGAGCCATGTGTGGTCACAGAGCCTCCATTTGGGGTACCAAGATACCACTTAGTGACAGGGGGATGTGGGAGAACTGGCATGGGCTGTTGGGAGCCTGAAGCTGGAGTTTGGACTCATCTCTTCCCTGGAGTGCATTCAGCGAAACTCAGCTATACGATGCAGCTGCCCTCAGGGAGCCATCCCACTGTGTAACAGGCTAGGCTTTTGGTTCTACAATGGCAGTGGAGCAGCTAACACAGACAAGCAGATATGCGCACCACGGAGAACGCTCATGAAGAGCGGGGGCTCTGGCTTCAAACCCAGGCTATCACTGTGTGGCCACCTAAGCCTGGGCAACTCATATAACCTCTGTGCTCCAGCATCCTCACCTGAAAAAGGAGGTGAGTAATGTCACCTGCAGATCATGGGACAGAAGAGTGAGCTAACGTGACCAACTGGTCAATGGGTAGGCGCATATGTACTACACAGAAATACAAAGAGCTTTAATTCTTCCCCCTGGAATACACTCCATTGATAACAAACCATCCTACAGGATTTTCAGAGTAACAGGATGCAAATCGACTCCTGAGTCCCACCAAATGCCACGCTGCAAAGGGCTCTAGGAGGCTACAGATCAGAGCAAAGCAGCCTGGGCAGACAATCATGAAGAGGAGTGGCGGGGGAGGTGGGGGTGGGAGGGAGGATTAGCAAAACCAAACACGCCGGCAGAGCCTCTCACCAGGCAGGCCTGGGGCGCTCCTTCCCAGCGAGGCCAGAGGGCTGTGGGGACAGGTCTGGAATGAGCAGTCCACCCTGACCCCAGATGGTATCTGAGGGTACCAAGCAGTCACTGTTGGCACAGACATCCTTGCCACACACTCGGACCACCGACCACAGATCACTGGGACCTCTGCTGGCTCCAGAAGTTTCCCTGGGTTGAGGGTGGCCAGTAGAGGATGGTACTGAGGGCCTGGCGCCACTGTCAAGGTGACGGCCCAGCCTGACCAGATGCGGCTCACCTCCTCACCCTACCAGTCCAGGCTTCTTGGTCATCCGAGGACACCCAGTACAGGCACACCTGTGGCTACAGCCAGCAAGCCAAAAATATGTCGGGGAAGGTCTTCACAGGCCGGCTGGTACAGGCAGGCAGACCTGGAGGCATGGGCAGAGACCTCAGTGGCCATGGAGGGCACGGCGACTCGAGTTACGTGGAGCAGTCATGCATCTGGGTTCTGTCCCCGTGCCTGCCTTCCCCCTAGTGGAGGGCAGCGGGGATGAACACAAACACGACATGGCAGCTTGAGAAGTGTCACTCCCCAAACCGAGATGCACTCGTCCCTCATCCTTTGTGAGCTGACTTCAATTTGGGTTGTAATGTGTTCCCTGCGCCGAGGCCAGCACCTACCGTGAGCGGCTCCCCCTGGAGCGCCTGCAGGATGAAGTTGCTGACCACCCGCCCATCATTCATGTGCATGCGCGGACCAAAGGTGTTGAAGATTCTGGCCACTCGTACTTCCACGCCTTCCTGGAACAGAGAGAAGAGGAGGTCAGGCGTGCTCCCCCGCGTGGTCCATGCGATCACTTTGCATTTCCAGTGTGTTGCACGCAAAGCCTTTCAGGAAACGTTCTGCTTTCCATTTCAAAATGGAAATGGCTTTTTTGTTCTGATTCCACAATGTGCTCATTATAAACCAATCAGGAGACCACACAGGGCTATATCAAAGAGAGTCAAAGCTGTCCCAGATCTCGCCACTGAAAGGCCATCAGCATTAGTATTTTGGTAGAAAACCAGCTAGATAAACAGTGCAAGGATCAAAACACTTTTGTTTATATAAATTTTTTTCCCAGTTAAATATATATTTTCCCAAATGGGATCACGTTATGAATATGCTTTTCTAATCTTTTTCACATAATATACTGTGCAAATTTATCACTCAATGGAGATTTGGATGTCAATGAATATTTAATAGCTAGGGAGAAATAAAAGAAGGCTCTCTATCTCAGGAAAAGGGGACACAGAAACATTCTTACTGAGTGACCTTGCACCTACACTCCCAATCTGTTTGACTGAAAAACATCCATTTTAGTGAAAAACTAAATACAGCTTAGTGCCCAGTATAGGTTATTAGCTAGTGGCCTGGAAAGAGGAACATACTGACACTGTGTAAAACAGTCATCCCTCCTGTTCATTTTCATCTCTATGTTCATTTCCTTCTACGTATTTTTTTAATGCTTCTATTTTTACTACAATAAACATGTATTACTTTTGTAATCCAGAAAAGCCTGTTTTCAAATATGCAATCGGGGAAGTGCATATCTGAATAATAAAAGCCCGTTCTAAATGATCATGTTTAATTATTTCACAGACCGCTTTGCCATGGATGGAAAAATTAAATATTTTTATCACAAACTCTGAATTAGTGGGCTTTTACAGTATATACGTATCTAACATTTGATTCCCTGCCGAACAACCGTGCACTTTCTGGACATCTGAGAGCAGGGAGCCTCGGGCATGAGGACCTGGGGCTCCTGCTTTTCACCGCGCCCATATGTCTGCCGTTCCCGCTCCACTGCTCACTGCCCAGGCAGGCCACCGACTCGGTCACAGCGAGACTGGGAAAGGAGTCACCTGATCACCTCAGTGTTCTGACATGGAAGCACAGGCCCAGTGGCTGTATTGGGTGCCAGTTATCACTACCAGCTGAAACAGTTCTTTTTTCAATTTATACCAACACCTTAGGCCGGCATGGGCTGGGAGTGGGAATCCAACAAACCCTTAGCTAACAAGGCTTACTTAGCACAGAATGTCTCCACCAGTATAGCGAGTTAAAGGGCGTGAGGCGTGAGGCCCAGCGGCCCCACCAGCCCTCTCAGTGGCTGGAGTGACATGGCTGCCACTTCAGCCCACAGCAGCCTTGTCAATTTCCCTAGGGTGTTCCACAAACCCGGGCAGGTTTTTACGTGTGCTGTGATACGAAAAAGGGTGGGAGGCATAGAAGCACACAGTTAACTTTTAGAAGCCAGAGTGCTTTATTAGTGCTAATTCTTCCCAGCAATACACTGTAATACTTCACAGGAGCCACTCAGTTACAAAGATACGAGCTAAGTCCAAGAATAAATCAACCCTTTTCTCCACCGAACTCATGAGTGTATTAAAAAGAGTGGGGGAGCAGAGATGCTGTTCTCAACAGAAAATAACTCAGAAGTACCCACTTGCATTTCATTGATAAGATGAGGAAAGAACCAAAGTGAATGGATGTGGCTTTATTCTAGGAAGAGACTGGGAAAACCTCAGCACATTTACAGTAACCCAATGTGCCTGGCAGGGGAAAAGCTCAATGGGTTAGGCAAAATTAGCAGCAAATCAAATGCTTTTATCTTCTTGACCTTCCCTTTCCACAAAACAACATTCCAGAACGTGGCCTCATTAGGATGAGCAGACATTAACTGGCCAACCCATAAACAGGCTTGCTTGCTGTGGCTTTTCTATTTGGGTCTGTAATGGTTCAGCAACAGAGGGCAGCCCTTCTACACAGGTGCAACAGCTGTGAGCGCAACAACACTTCTAAGAACGCGAGCTCTCAGGGCCGGTCTGCACCAGTAAGACGAGCTACTCATGAAGCCGAAACTCCTTACATAAAATAGACACGACCCCGAGGCTCACTCCAGTGAAGAGCTGCTCTCCTCTGGGAGGATGGCGTCTTCGGGAGTTTGCAGGCCCATCTACCCCTTTCTAGGTAGCTTCAGGGAACCCTCGGCCTTCATACAAAGGTGACCCCCAATCAATCTGGACAGTCCACTTGCTGCTGAATCCTCATTCCCACTGGTCCTCACGGTGGGACCATGTGGGCAGGCGGGAGGACAGTCGGTGGGTGCTGACACCACTGTTTATGGTGGCAGTTCAGTTGTCACCCACATGCATGGCTTGGAGAAAGGTATAGTTATTCCTCATCTCAGAGCTGAGGAGAGGTCCAGGGTCTGACCCAAAGCCACCTTCCTAAGAAGGGAAGAGCCAGGCTGAAAACCCAGGAAGGGCACAGCAGGCAACACTGTCTCATTTAAGGGAGAGCCTACCTCTGAAGGACCAAGAAGTAAACACATTCATGAACCCCTGACTCCCACACAATGTTCTGTCTGCGAGTGGTCAGGCCCTGCTGACACTGAGCTGGTGCCTTTGAGCATAGACAAGGCTGTCAGTCAGAAAGCTAACTGCTGACTCATCCCTAGGCACGGCTGGGTTTCACTTTATGCTCTGTGGTTCCGTCCCCTGTGATGACCCATGAGTCATGGACAGCTCCAAGCATCAGGAAGGTCAGGACAACTCCTACAAGCCTAAGCTGCGCCAACATAGAACCAACGGAAACTCAGAGAGGATGGATGCTGAGGGCCCTGCACAGGGTGCAGGCTGGAATGTCTGGATGGCCTCATCTCATCCTGGGATTCATTATCCCGAGGAAGTCACTTCAGCTTCTAAGACTTAAGATCCTAATCTTTGAGATGAGGACAATAATATCCATTCTACCTACAACACAGGAGTTAAAACACTGAAACCGTTTTGAAAACTGCCATCATTACTATCTACCTCCAAGGGATGGTTCTCAACCCAGTAATTGCCCTTGACCTCGGTCCCCAATTTTCTGATGACACTAATTTACCTTGAAGTGACGGTGACCACGTGTGGAATAGCTCACACACATTGCCACCAGGACACTAGGATTGCAAGGGACAGGCTGAGGCTCCCAAAGGCCCTTTGGAAACACCAGCTAGGTTGGAACAGTGTAAGCTGGCACCAAACGCCTCCTTGCCTCATTCGTAGCGCTGAGAGAGGAGTGAGGGCTTGGGTATGCAGGTCCTGAGACATGGAGCCAACTAACAGCAGGCCCGAGAAGCAAGAGGTGATCCAAGAGGAATAATGAAGGTACAGGGTTCCTCCCTCCCCAGATATCTCCTAAGGACAGAAATGTTACCAGCAGGGATTACACGGTGTACACAGCACCTTTGACATAAGTGATTTTATCTTAGAAAATGACTCCATTTCACATTTCAAAAGGCAGCCAACCAACACGGTCTAGATGTTTGCATAATCAACAGAGACAACTCCCAACCAGATTAAGGGCATAACCCTTTACTGTCGTCCTCACCAAAGGGCTCAAGGGCCATAATGAACAGGACTTCTACAACTCGAGATGGCCATCTTGACAGGCTCCACCTTGCTGTCACTCATGATCAGCACCCAGCATCTGCCGCCAAATCAAGGGCTCTTCCATGCAAGATGATGCTGTGCGTCCAGATAAGCCCAGGACCCTCTCCTTGTCCATGTCACTGTCCTTGGACTGGTTCATTAACCCCTTTTCCTCTCCCCTTATCTCTCAATGTTAAATGTTACTCTGTTTGATGTGGAATGTTTAATCTAAACATTTATATATTAAGTATACTACTAGGTATGGTTTGCAGTACTGACTGACCTGTGGAGTGGCTTGAGCCTGTGTGACCACAGCTCTGATTACCGAGTGCATAAAGTACTAAGAAGTCCCTCCTTGGAAACTGCATAGAGCACATGGATTTTATGATGGAAACAGTATCAATAAAAGCCTGACCTTGTGGAAAGACACAAACGTTCATGGACCTGGTTATGTCTGATCTTGTTTGCCCTGCTCACGACACATGGGTTCTCCCTCAAAATTTCTTTTAAAATGTAATGGAGAGTACAACAGGTCCCCAAACAATATCATTTCATGATAACACTGATGAGAAACAAAATCACCTCCTGGCTGGGGCTACTGTCTGCATGCAGCTGGCACGTTCTCCTCTCCCCACGTCTGCGTGGGTTTTCTCCGGGTACTCTGGTTTCCTCTCACATTCCGAAGCTGTGTATGTCAGACAAGTGGGCTGTTCCAGGGGTCCCAGTGTGAGTGAGTATGCCCTGTGAGAGGGTGGCATCCTGTCCAGGGCAGGCTCCTGCCTGGAACCTGGAGCTGCTGCGACAGTCTCTGGCCACCTGAGACCCTGCAAATAATTATCTTGTTTTTATTTGTCTTCCTTAGGTGGATGGCTCACATTTATTTCAAATCCTTAATATCAGAAGTGTTTTAGTCTTTATTTAGAATTTTGGTGATGTTTTGTGACCAGAAATGCGCCTAGGAACTTAACTCTTGTTTATAGCAACTAGCCTGTGCTACTGCTGATTTTGTTCTATGTCCTTCTGCTGAAAGTAGCAGTTTCCAAGAACCCACTGATGCTGTTAAGTGATGACTTTCTGTGCTATATCAAGCCACTGAACACTGTGACATGATCACTATATTCGCTGATGGAAGGTACTAGTAAGGTACTAGTGACAGAAGGTGGAACAGAGCCCTGCATAGTGGGAGCAGGTCCTGGAGGAGGTGCCTGGGCATATTCACCTGTAGGGAACAGGATGGAGAAATGCCAGGAAGTGCACCCAGGTACAGCAGCCCAGACTCTCTTTGACGCTTCCCTTGGAGAATTACGTGCACATCCCTAAAGCAACAGGGTCAGGCTGTGAGG